TTTTTTTTTTTTTTTTTTTTTTGTCGGTGGAAGCTTGGATAAACCTCCAGAAGGCTCCTAAAAGCCCCATTTTGTTTTCCTATGCCTTCCTCTTCCACCTACATCCTTTTCTTCCTTCTTTCTCCAAGGTTAAGGTGCTTTTTGTTAGGTAAGTATAAGTTTTAGTTATGAATTTTGGGTTAGAGTTTTGGGTAGTTTGAATTAGTGAGATTTGACTCTAATCCTTTGGTTTATTAGATTTTTTGGGTATTAAAATTTTATTAGAAATATCCTTAATTTTGGGGCTTATATGTGAAAGATAGTGAGTTATTCCTTTTTATGTTTGATTTGGGTGTGAATTTTTGTTGTAGGAATTATAAGTAAATTGTATTGTTTACGAATTACTGTTCATGATTACTTTTCACGTTCACGGATTATGTTTTGATCTTTTTCAATAGGAAGTCCTAATATTATTTTGGACATATTATGAATTTGTTTGACAGGTGTATGTGTTTGTGGCTATGGAGTAAGTGGACCTAAGCTTAAAGCTTGGGGTATTCAGTGGACCCTTCGGGGTATTTAGTGGACCTCTGCGCAGTAGGGTTAGTACTATGATTAACTCTGGTACAGTGTTGCTAGCACACTTCAGTGGACTGCATAGCATTGTGTGATTTTCGATTTTATGCATTGCGCTTGTGACATCGTATTTGTTAGTATATGATTTTAGTATATAAATTCAATTTAAAAGTCATTGATTATTCCTTGACATTTGTGCTTATGATTTGAGATATTAAGTGATTATTTAAATAGTAAGAAATATAATATTATGTGATTTGATTCCGTTGTGTCTTATGCTCTTTGTGTGGATAGGTCTAAAGGTCTTAGGACCCAAGTTTATAGCTTAAACTTATTACTTGCTGGGCTGTGAGCTTATAAAATTCCCCCCCTCATTTCAGATCAGTAGATCGAGGTAGCATCACCTTAGTTTAGGAGCTTTTGGCACGGGACTCGCATGCTCGTTGTATGTACAAGCTAGGGCCTCGTGTTTTCGATAGGGAGGCAGATCGATGTATTACCAAAACATTGATTCAGCTTGTTTTTTTGAAAAGCTTTGAAGAAGAATTTGCCTTGTATAATTTTTGTGTAAATTACCTTTATGTATAAAATCTTTAAATTAATTATAAATGAGCTTAGGTCGGCTTATTTTATAACTTTGAATATTTTGACATTTTTTTTCAATATATATATTGACTTGTTAAAGTGGTTTTTCTTTACATGTATTTATGATATTCTTTTTTCAAAAGTGTTTTTATTTTCGTTGTAATTCTTTATTATAAATCTTATTTCCGAACTCTCGTAGGACTAAAAGTGCTTAGGGAGGTGTGTTATACCTCGGGACTTTGTAGGTTAATCTGGAGTGTAGACACGGACTAAGGAAGGTCTTCTGGTTTGGTGCAATTACAGATATCAAACCACGTTTAAGTGTATCTTCCTTTTTTGAGTAACAGTTTGAATCCGATTCCTTACAAAATTGTTCAAAAAAAAAAAGTGTTCAAATTAAATTTTACAAACCTCAAAATTAATTTCACTTTAAATAATTTTAATCACACACCCCTGCACTCAACATTACATATTAAAGGAAATTAATTCCTCGGCACGGTCTCAAAGTCAAAACTTGTATTTCCACTTGACTACATTCGTGAACGCAACGTCATAACAGATGACTAATCAAAGTGGCATTAGTCTAAGAAAAAGAGTTATATTTAAAATGAAAAGTAAAAATTAAAATATTTTGTATTTTAAGCATCAAATTTGTTTATTTTTATAGTATAACATAGAATTAGTTAGTTAATAATATAAAGTTTTAAGTTTTAATTTTAATTTTAAATTAAAATTTTAAATTAATAGATGTTAATTTAATTAAAATTTTATTAATAATATTTTTTTGATAGGAAGTAGAGATTTATATTAAAAAAAGATATTGCAGTCGAATCTCTAAATCAGGGCTTGTAGCATAAAAAGAAGAGCATAACCTACAGCACTAATAACAGATTTAAATTATACCCATGATGGATTTAGATAATTAAGCAAATAGATCCATTTGTAACTAGATGATGGATTTAGATAATTAAGCAAATAGAGCCATTTGTAACTAAGGATTGCATATGCAATCGTTGTATGAGTTAAATAGGGCTACAATGTAGAAAGGATAGTTACTATAAGCATCTGAAGCTAATTGGGCGTCCTCACCTATTTAGCCAACTTCATAGGGAGAGCAGGGAAAGCTCGACATCAACAGTCCCCAACCTGCTAGATGTCGTCCCTAAGTAAGAAGCATTTTCAACCTGCTGGAAGGTCATGGCCTTTGGCTAATGGAGCTAAAGCCATCCCTATATTGTCCACCATCACTTTACAAGCTCTCTCCTCCTCTAGAAACTCAGTGCCATGCTTTCTTTTATTGTGAATGGGTTTGTCCATGTGCAACATGGGCTCATCGCGACGTCTTGTCTTTCTCCATTGACCTATGGTTCCTTTTGCAGCTTTATCTTGCCCCCTTAACTTGCTGATGTTGTTGAACTCATGTACCAAAGGCACTTCCACCAAGCGTTCAACATTACTGTCTGGCAAGCCATCTGGATGCTGATTCAGTGTCTCATCCATTCCTCTAGTAGTCATCATTCCTTCATTGTTGCCCCTCTTGATTTGGCTAGCATTGTTGGGCAATGAATTAGTCGATTGACGATCTCCATACTCAAACTACTCCCTGTCTCCTCCATTCTTATCTTGTGCTAGTAATTGAGTATTTGCGGAGAAAATTTTGTCCATAGTATCAAAGTCTTTCAAGGACCATGAGTTTTCCAATTTAGCTTTTAACCAAGGACCAAAGCATCGTACAATCTTACCACTGGCATCTTTTATGCAATTTGCAATCTCATAATCATTCTCCAGGTGACCTAAACATCCATAGACGAAACAAAACTCCAGAAGTCTCTCATATTTGATCTTGAGCTTCTTGCCTTCCGTAGGACTAACCTGGGAGGTTTTAAATCTTCGTAAAGGTTTATCCACCTCCAAGTCGATTCTAATTCTAAAGAGCTCCTACTGCAACCTTCATCCACCTCCATGACCTTACCTAAAGAGCTCCTAATCATGAGTCCAATTTGCTCAAATCGCATACCAATAGGAACATCAAAAATTCTAACCCAAAATGAATTAGTAGAAAAATTATATTGCTCCATAGTTAACGAGGTATGAAATTTCTTTAAAATAAGCAATGAGTTGCTAAAATTCCAAGTACCTCTGTAAAAGGCTTTATTGAGATCTCCAATTTTTGAGAATTGAAACAAATAAATTTTTTCTCCAATCTCAGAGATTTTGAAAACCTTTTTGGGATTCTATGAGGCCATTAGAGCATTTTAGAGACCATTGAGATTGATTCTTCTTTGTGACAAAAGCTTACCTACCAATCGCAACTTTCCCACGTTTGCATCTTCCTGATTCCATACTGTATGAAATGGGAAGATACCATCTTGATCTTCTAATATGTGGACTTGCCTAAGCATGGAATGTAAATCGAATGTAAATCCTCTTCTGCCATTGCTAAAACAATCGATTGCTGCCCAGCAGTGGCATCCAACAGTAGTAGACGTAAGCGACTGAAATAGAGCCTACGTGAACCAAGCAGAGCCTGCGGATTAGATTTTGAAATCTGTTTTGATAGAGCTTCGATTCACCTTGGGTTGTGGAGCACCAAATTGCAACAGCAAGGGCGGAGAAACAGTGGGATCCAAAGGAAAGAAGGAGAGAAAGGAGGGCTCCTCAAGTGGAGAGAGGTCTCAAAGGAATGTGCCCAACCCCTCCAAACTAGGGATGGCAATTCTCCCCCCCCCCCCGCAGGGATCCCTGCCACGGGGATGGGGCGGGGAGGAATATTCCTCCCCACGGGGTGGGGACGGGGATCATTTTCTCCCCGCGAAATTTTTCCCGGCCCCATAGGGATCTCCATCGCTGAAAAAAAAAGTTTTTATTTTAAAATTAATTTATTCTTTAAACTCAAACCTAAACCCAAACCCAAACCCAAATCCAATTCAATTACAATTAAACTTAACCCAATATTATCCAACCCAACCCAACTCCCAACCCAACCCATTCCCTTACATTTAACCCTAACCCTAATTTAATTTAATTATCATCACTCAATCTCACATCTCTTTGACTGCAGCTTCACACGTCTATCTCACATTCAGTTTCCTTTACTGTTGCTGCTGTTGCCACCGGAGCCATATGCTGCTGCTGCCGGACCATATGCTGCTACCACCACTAGACCCATCTGCTACTACTGCTGCCGGTTGCCAGCACCGGACCCATCTGCTCTGCTGCTGCTGCCGGCTGCCACCACCGGACCCATCTGCTGCTGCTGCTGCTATCGGAGCCATCTGCTGCTGCTGCTGCTATCGGAGCCATCTGCTGCTGCTGCTGCTATCGGAGCCATCTGCTGCTACCGCCACCGGAGCCATTTGCTGCTGCTGCCTGACCCATCTGCTGCTGCTGCTGTTGCCTGACCCATCTGCTGCTGCTGCTACTGCTGTCACCGAACAGCCTAAGCCATCTGCTTTGCTACTACTGCCGGAGCTATTTAATGTTAATTGGTGGGGAATGGGGATCCCCGCGGGGATCCACATTCCCCGTGGGAAACAGAGATGAGGGGCAAAATCTGCTCCCGTCAAAAATCCTCGTAGGGATCCCCGGCCACGCGGGATCTCATTGACATCCCTACTCCAAACCCAAACCCTAAGAGTTTGGAGCATGGGAGTTAGAATTTTTTT